TATAAGTGGTATATAAAATCGAACATTTTCCCATACAAATCCTTATAAAATATTCGATTTTATTATTTAATGCCATTATAAGCTAAAACTCTGCCACCCACTAATATCGAGGTGCTCTTTTCATTTCTGATTTTCGTTTTGACACAGGTGCTTGTTTTCAGGGAGGTAGGGTCACGTGATCTGTTAGCGCAAGTCGTCATTTACGGTTTATATCTTTATGATATTCTAGCCGAAAAAGTTTCAGCAATGTATGTCCTTTTGTGATTTAAAAAGTCTGATCTTGACTTGTTAGTCGAATTTTCGTGTTAAAGTCTTTTAGATGCAGGTTTCATTTCACATAGAAGTAGTGTCGTCACGGGCAGGCGGTACGCGCGTGACTGACCTCACTAGCCTTCCCACTGACCAAGTATTGTTATATCGCAGGCGTGTTATATCGCGTGACATAAATACGTGCACTAATTCATTTCTTGGACGTTCTTTTGTTCCTTCACTAGTGAATAAAAGTACCCTGAAAAAAATATGGCTGAGATAAAGTCCAGTGGTAGAACTGTGCTTATTCCGGTAGATGGCAGTGAAAATGCAAGCACAGCCTTCCAATGTAAGTGAAAATTGTCGTGGATTTTGATGACGATCTTGCCAAAGTAGAGACGAACGTGCCTTGATAGGCGAACCGTTGCATGGCAGATTATATCGAAGCTAAAAACAAAAGTTAATTCAGTCTCTAGAAGAGTCATTTTTGAAGGTTTTTAGATTTTAAAAGGAATATGAGTTAGCAGAAAAAGAGGTTTTACGAAACGCAGTTGTTGTTATTTTTAATTTCACAGCTGAAATTCACACAAAAGGGCTTGATGAGTGCATGACTATAGTGGTTAGTCTTGTAGGGATGTCGTTACTTGGCGCTTATTAAAAAACTATAGAGTCATCTTAAAGTCAGGAAAGGAGAGACAATGCTTGCTATTTGGCTAAAGGATTGATATATGTTAGCTTAGCTATCACTTTTAGTTTCAATTCTGACAAAAATGATTGCAAAATATATAATCATAAGCTTACTATTTTTGTCATTTTTTGTTTCATTTTTCGTTGAAAATAAATAAAATGTGGAACATAAACATCACAGTATGTAAATAAGTGATTTGCTTGTCATGGTTCTGAAAGTAAAACCATCGCAGTAAGTTTTCATTTTTATTTCATCTTTGCAACCTAAAGCTATAGTAGTCAATCTTTAGGCATAAATCATGGCTGACAATGTGATAATGCTATTATTTTTCCAGTTTATATTGATGCTGTCCACCAACCTGAAGACCGGTTAATTGTCTTACATGCTTTTGAGCTTCCTCCCCTGCCATATTCATCAGGACCTTGTAAGTAGATGATTCTATCTCTAAGCAGCATACTTTGTACATGTAACTCAAGTGGTAAGTAGAAGCTTGGCCAAGATTGTGAAGAACTACCAAAATTGGAGGTCTTGGTATTTTTCAGTGCAATTACTATAACCGGGGCCACCTAGATGCCCGGGGGGGGTACTCTGCCAGGATTTGGGTAGGGGTGTTCCGCTGGGATTCTGAAAGGGGTACCCTGTTTATATTAACAAAAAACTCAAATTTGTAGACCCTGTTTATGACAATATGATATAATTAGTTGCATTGAGTTCCTGTTTCAATTATCATGTCAGCTCGCGTACTGTTTTTTTACAACCATAATAACCAGTTTCGGTCAATACAAAAGTAGATACCCTGAATATGACAGGAAATGCAGGTAGAACTTGGAACTTGAGTGAAATTGCATAGTACCCTGTTTATGACAAGAAGCTTGAAAAACCATACCCTGTTCGGTGGATCATTCCCGTATAGTCCCATATAGTCCGTATAATCCCGGGCCTAGATGGTGAGAACCAATCAAGTTGTAGAATGAAAACAAATTAATAGTGAAACACAAACAAGGAACTGACCTAGACGTTTGATAAGTAATATACAGTATGCGTGTCCGTGTGTTGTATCCGATTATATCTGATACAACATGGCCACTCATACTGTATATATATTACGAAGAATTGTATGCATAAGACTGAAAGTAGAAGGAGGTAAACGATATGCCTCTATGGAATAATTGGACGAAGGAAATTCCAAGGAATCAGACCAATCTTATGAATAATGAGTCTGAAGTGTTAATGTTTTAATGCCATCCAGTTGTAATATATATCAAACTCTCAGCTAAAACCCCTAGGAGGGAGGGTGGGAGGATTTCAGGATAGGAGTATCAGTAAGTTATGCTCATCGGAAATGTTTCAAAATACCCCTAAAATATACTCTTTGAAATAATTTTTAACCCCTAAGAAATAGCAACAAAGATAATATAAAAAATATATAATGACTGAGTTTGAAGAAACACCTAAACCTAAATCTAACGCCTAAAGCTAGGCTTGCCAAAATACTTGACTCATAAAAATACACAGCCATATTAGATGCTTAGCTGATTGATAACCTTAATATAACCTGATATACTTTTACCCTGGAGTCCTTTGCCTTATCCCCTTTCCCCTGGCTTTGCCCTCCCCTCTTCCCTCCCCGCTAAAATCCTGTTCCTGTTCCTGCATTTGCTTTTGCTCATTGATGCCCCATGTTTTAAACTCATCTTCAAAGATCATCTGACAACACATAATTTACATGTACATACTATGTATAATAGTTTATCTAAGTAAGTCTTTGAAATGAGTCTTTGAAGTGAGTCAATTAAAAGATTTTGTAGAAATAAAACTTTCATCCTAAACCTTTTTGCAGTCAAAGATAAAATATATGACAGGAATTCTTTTAATATTCATAGATTCTAAAGTTTTTAGATTTATATTAGTTGCTTAAAAATACTTTTTTTATTATTAATTTTTTTTGAAGTGTTTTGAAATTTTAAAAGCAATGTTTTCCCATTGGCCATTTTTTTGAAGTTTGATTGATCAGTCATTGGCTGTTCATCTTATTTGTAGGCTGTAGAGCTCAAACTATGCAGAAAGACGATGGAGGAATTAATGAACATGGTTAGCGCAAATATAAATCTAGCTCCTCTTGACATACATGTAGTTGTATTTTCCTTTCTGCTTTCCTGATTGACTCAGTTTTGATGGGATTATTAGGCCAATAAGTTCTAACGTTTTACAGATCCCCCTGGATCTGCCCTTGCAATGGGTTGATGGTAGCCAAAATGGCAGATGTCTGGAGTCTGTTAGGTCACAGAAACATAATCAAGCAGGCTGTAAAGTAATATTTTAATATTAATATTAATAAATATTATTATATACTTAATAATTTGAATCTTAGCCCTGCTAATACAGTAATTCTTGACTTCCAATACGCTAATGATGTGATGTCAGTTTATTTGTTATCATTTGTAATTGGAGCACTGAGTATTATGAGCCAACAAATTTGCAATAAACTTTCTCACATTATGCTCATTAACATATTGGAAGCATAAACCCTGATATTATCTCCMAGATGCATCACTCAAATCACATGAAAATAATGTGACATTCTTGAAAATAATCAGTTCATGTAGAATCAGAACTGAAAATATTGAGTTAGAAAATTATAAGCTGAAGGCTGTTGTGAGCAAACTGCACTGTAAAAGCATTATCCATAAGTGCTCAGGCGTTTGACTTACTGTCAACTCAACTGTCAGCTTATATGGACTACATAATATAATGCAAGCTTGTGAGCTACTTTATATGGTGCTTAATGCTCATTGATATTCAAATGGGAAAACACCTTGGCCAAATAGTAGCATGGTCTACTGTCAGTTTTTACTAACATAATTGATAAGATCTTGTTGTTACGAAGTAGATTAGGTGTCAATCAAACTGAAACACTCCCTATAAGATTTTTCAGGGCACATTTTCAAAATAGTTTGTTATTTAAAATTTGCAGTTGTCTTTGCATATTATGAAGAATGGAGTCAAATGGTGAAGGAGACCAGAGAGGGACAGGAAGCCATGTTAAAAAGCTATGAAGATCAGTGTAAAGAGAAGAACGTAAGTGGGTTTAACCTYTTCTTCATGTGCTCCTAGCTAGAGACTCTTTTAAAAATGGGCATGCAGGTGCCGCATCTCCAGAATACTATCTTTTTAGTTACTTTCCACATAGTGGAAGAGGAATGGATTGATCAATAGGCTAGGCTTCTGCTCTTCACACTTGCCTTCAAAGTCTGTAAAGGTGGCATCTGTTGCTACAGCAYAGTCCCTCACTGCTGGGGTCACTCTTTTGATGCTTGACTGAAACCATGTGAGTTTAGTTTTTTGGTATCTCTCACCCAGGGGCGTCGGAGATGGGGGGCTAGAAGGGCTATAGCCCCCCACCTTTTCTATACAAAACTTGCACATCTCCTTGTACATTTTATATCACATATATATATAATCTGAATATTGTAGCCTCCCCTGTTAAAAATAATGCTCCAACGTCCCTATCACAGCTCTCATCAAAATCAACATTAACTCGGTAAACTCTTCTTTACAAGTTAGGAACTTCAAAGATGGTCATGAATCTTCCCCATTGATTGAAAAATACACGGCTATCATGAATCCATGGGTCTATCATGAATAAAGCTATAGACTGATGTGATTTTCTCTGTTCCACAGGTTCACTATCAAGTCCTGATGGTAGTGGGAAAACCTGCTGGTGAAGTCATCTGTAAAGTGAGTGAAGACGAGAAGGCTGATTTGATCATTATGGGGACCAGAGGTCAAGGCTTATTGAGAAGAACCCTTATAGGAAGTGTTAGTGATTATGTGGTTCATCATGCTCATATACCAGTAGGGGTAGTCCCAGGGCCTCAGAAACTTAAACAAGAAACATAGATTGTACTTCTTCTCAGTTGTCATTCATTCTCAGAGCATGCGCACAATCAACAAATGACTTTTAAATCAATAGGAACAAAAAAAGTGACAAAATTTTGAAAATAAAGAATTAGTGTTACTTCACTAGGGGCGTTACTATCAATGGGCATTACTCACGTGACAGCCATGTTCATTCTCAATAAAATAAAATAAAATAAAATAAAAACATAAAGTTATTTTTGAGCACTTGAATGCAATGCTACAAGTTGGAAAATCTATCCATTTAACATGGCTGCCAGGTGAGTAAGGTCCTTGGAAGTGAACTCAGATTTTTTCATTAAAATTTGGTGCACTGGAATGAATATTTGTCATTATGAAGATAGACGGGCCACTGTAGGGTAAGCATGCGCCAAAGCCTTAGTTTTCCTCAGGACGAGACAATACATTGATCAGCATGTTCATGTAAGCATTTGGGGGAACCAATAAAATGAAATTGTAATTATTTGAGAATTGTATCATTACTCTACACCTTAATATTTAACAAAAAGCACGTGGTGCTAAGGAAGGAGTATTATATCTGGGCTTTATTCAAAAAGATTGACAGTCTTGAGGCATGTTAAAAAATTCTTTGAACTAACATGCAACTGTTGCATGCATGGAATGTTGAGATCCAACCGACTTAGGAAACAGTGTTGCTCTAGTTGGACTATTAAATGGGGTGGCGCACACTATTAACTATACTGCAGACAACAAATTTCAAAGTGTACACTGTAAAATACCAGCCAACCAGCAGCCGGCCTAAAAAAGATACGACTTTTCTTGTACTGCTGGTCAAATTGGGTAACGTTCAATTTATAGTTTTGTCCTGGAAAAAGCTGCTTGTGACAGCCCTCGAAACTATCACGTTAAACGCAGCCAAACCTCTACCTTGGGCGTATTTTTTCCCCATTTTAGAGCACGACTCATTCTCTTGAGAATAAGATTCTTTGTTTGAGTTGTATCCATATTCATGTACCTTCTCATTGGAAAACAATTAGCAAAGAAATGATGCTCTTGGGAAYGACACGTGGTCTGAAATGGGAAAACATATGGGAACACATTTCACTGTGAAATGCCAACCATGTATGGCAAGTGACGTAAAGTGTGTCATGTTAGCTAGTAACTCGGCATATTAATCAAACAAGGATCCCCAAGCGTTAGACAAAGAATATGTACCCTATTAAAGAGGAAAGTATGATGGAATCCAAAAAAAAAATTGAAACGRCGGAATTTCTTGTGGACAAATACAAACATGGTTTTGATAAAGTGTTCTTATCAGAGGGTTTGATGTTCATGTAYGAGTTATATATTGTTGTATTTGCAACGCTCTATTCCTATATTATTTATGGTCACACTTGGCTGAATAATCACGTTTTTATTTTAATTTGTCAGTTGAATTTGTTACATGTCAATTACGAAAGCGATACATGGCTATAACATAACTAGTTCTCTTTAATGTACCAAAAATTATTAGTAATCAGCATTTTTTCTTTTAAATATCTGTGCTTGATTTTGCAGTGTCAAATAATATAATTTTTTATAATTTTTAATTATAATTCAGAATATTTTCCATGGGATCATCAATACGAGTGCACACAATAAATTGGACTAACTAATTAGTATCAGCTTAAACTACTAATGGTCTATCACAAATCCTGCACTCTGATTGGCTGAGCTATTAGTGATAGACCACTAGTAGCGAAAACTGCCGATTTTGACAACCAAAATATTGAAAATAACTCTAATTTTAATTTTTTTGTATTCATTTATTTGACCGATTTGTAGGTTGATATAAAACACTAAGACTTATCGCCCTCATGGTCTATAAGTCAATTTTTATAAGATAAAGAAAACRAAAAACGAAAATAATTTCCTAAACAGACAAGCCCAAATTAACAGGACGAACAAAAAAATCTCGCAACCTGTGGCTTGTTGCTTCATGAAATACTACATAATAAAAAAGGAGCCAGGATTATGTTTATTATGATCACGAGTGCTGAACGCACATGCCAAATCATAAGAATGGTATGGGATCCAGGTAACTCGYCTCGAAGAGCACAAAGGATTATTAGTCAAATCGAACAGTTCCTAATACCCAGTCTCCTATTTCATAATATCTCACGCTATTATAAATCAAAATGGCGGCTGGTGACTAATTAGGAAAAACCCGATTTTGCTTACTTTTATTGCATTTATTTTGTTTTTATTAATTTTAATTGCTGATAGGGCAAGAAATCTTTTCCGGTACATGTGACATATAATTTTTTAATGTAAAGTTATATTTCAGGATGTATTTAAAAAAAGTTAACTTGAAATACGACTTCATTTTGAAATTCATCATGGAAGTTTTGGTAATGCAACAAAAATGCTTCTGATTAGTTAATAGTAACCGGAAAAGCGTGCGCGGGGGTTGAAACGTGTGAAACTAGGACCTCATTCGGGAATATTCAGATATGCAAATTAGGAATGTTGATAACATATTTGGAATTATGAGTTTGCTTTCAAGATGGCCGCTTCTCTCATATATCAAAATTCTCGCTGAATTTCTTGACTTTCAGAAGAGGTTAACTGAATCTCTCAACCAAACAATTGAGATATCTGTCTTTAATTCAGTTTGGGAGTTTTTGAAGTAAGAGGATGTGATTTACTGGAAAGAAATTTGTGAGGATAAAAAAGTTGAATATTCCAGAGCATCGTGCAAAAGAAATGTATGTCTGTTACGCATTTCAACCCCATTACGAGTTTTTGATAAGCATTTTTATAAAAAATATTGAAAAACCTTGCAGTCTGTAGACTAAAAATACTTTACTATAGGAAGATCAAGATATTATCATTAACCATCCATATCGTAGGCTTTGGACGAGAAGTGGATGGGATTGTCGAATTGGTGATGTTTGAAGATAGACTGTGAACAGCGTCTTTTCTTCAAGTAGTACCAGGCAGCTCCAGCTCCTGCAGCTATGGCCAAGATTACAAAGACAACAGCAATGGCGGCTTTTCCTCCTGATGACAAACCACTTGAACGACCTGTAAAGGTATTTAGAAAGGACCAGTTTAGGTGTCGAATGATTTAGGAAACAAATGAATAAGAAAAAATATCGTCTTCTGGGATCTAAGGCGCATGCGCTGGTGAGTGACAAACGAAGGCTCACAACTCCGAATAGTCATGGAACAAATAGTCAGGATATCAAAAATCAACGAGAGGGAGATAACTAATGATAATACAAATGACTATATTGGTTAGATACAAAAACACTCGTAAGCTCCATGACGTTTCATTAGGTTCGGCTTATGTGAAGTTCGACGTTTAGAACAGCGCAATAGCCGCGGTGAAATGATATATTTTTTAAAATCTGTGTAACCAGAGTAACTGACGAATGTTTATTATTATCATTATTATTATTATTATTATTATTATTATAATTATCATCATCATCATCATCATTATGGATTAATACATTACCTCCGCTTTGCGGTTTGGCGTTCCCTCCGTCTGAAGACAATGACAAAGAAAAGAAGATGGTTAATTAGTCATCAAGGTTAATTAAACATATATATCAAACTATGTTGTACACTCACCTATCTTAGTGATGTTAAAACTATTAGGATCAACCTCTAGATCACCAACTCGACCTGATTTTACAGCTTGCTTAAGTTTATCTGTAACTCCTGATGTCTGAGTAGCATCACCAATAAAAACGAGACGGAAGTCCACAATAACACTGCCACGCCTACGATAATAAATATATACTGATTACTAAAATGAGCATTTAACAGTCATATGAAAAATGCACTAACAATTGTAGCAATTGGTCAATTGCAGGTATAGTGCTTACGCTTATAATCTAATATCTAAACTAAGAAAAGGGAACCCCAAACAAAACTTTTAGATCTTGTTTGGTGAAGGGAGGGGTGGGGGGCAACAAGTATACAGGTAAGATATCACCCTTTTAGAGGAAAATGAAAACGAAGTTGAGAAGTAGCGTGACAAGGCTACAAAATGTTTGTTACTTGTATTAGCCAATCCGAGGTCAAGGGAAAACTGGGTTGAGTTGACAGTGCATTGCATTGTTTTAGGGTCCATATTTCGAAGATAGTGTCTATTTCGTCGCCTAAAACAGTCCCATAATGCACTGCAATGCAAACTCGACCCAGTCTTTTGCTCAACCTCGGGATGACATATAGTAGATAGACATACCTGAATCCAGTAACCATTGCTTTACTAAATGATTTAGTTCCTGTGTATATACTTCTAACCTGTCGAGTGAAAAACGCAAGCTTGTATCTGTATGACTCACATCAAGGGCGGATTCAGGGGGAGGGTCGGGGGGGGGTCGCGACCCCCCTGTCATTCCTGAGTTCAAATGGGTTTCCTGTGGTAAGAATGCGACTGCGATTCCTTTGCCCACAAAATTTACCCCTAAGACCCCCCCTTCAAAAAACCCTGGATCCGCCCTTGCACATGCTACAGTGATGAATAAGTTACCATTTACATCAGTATGGTGTTCGCAGGGATTGAAACAGCAACCAAACAAGCTAAATTCCAATTCGATCTGGGATTGAGGCGTGTGATGACATCGATCAGCAAAGATGTTGTTTCAGTGTAACGATAAGACTTGAAGGCAAACTTCAAATTTTATCAAATTCTGAAACAGCCTCTGGGCTGATTAAAGTCAGGGCATGGCTTATTCACAGATCAAACCTTGGAACAGCCTCTGGGCTGATCTAAGTCAGGGCACGACTAACTAAAAGATCGAACCGCCTGAAGCAACCTCTGGGCTGATCTATGTCAGGGCACGGCTAAATCACAGATCAAACTTTGAAACAGCCTCTGGGCTGATCTATGTAAGGGCACAACTGACTCACAGATCAAGCATTGAAACAGCCTCTGGGCTGATCTAAGTCAGGGCACGACTAACTCACAGATCAAACTTTAAATATGCCACTGGTCTGATCTAAGTCAGGGCACGACTAACTCACAGATCGAACCGCCTGAAACAACCTYTGGGCTGATCTATGTCAGGGCAGGGCTATCTCACAGATCGAATCATGAAACAACCTCTGGGTTTATACATAAGTGAGAGCACGATTCAATCACAGGTAAAATTTGAATTTAGTTTGTTAAGGTTTGCGGTGAGAGGGGAAATAAACGAAAAACCTGGAGAAAAACCTTGGAATAAAAGGAGGTACCTAACAATCCCTGATCACAAGTGATGCCTTGTCCAACTGAGAATAGACACCGAGACCTCAGAAGTGAGACCCCCTAACCCCACCCTTGGGATTCACGGATCCACTTGAAGGCATTTCTAGTAAAGGTTCTATCATTCTTTGAATTTCCATAAACATTCTTCTCGCTCCAACAATCTGCCTCCTTTTTTTTCTCCGCAAACAAACAACGAAGGACTTATGGACAAAAACAAAACCAAAACAAGATAACAAATAATTAAAAAAATTAAAACAAAAGGGGGTGGGGAGGGGGAGGGGAATTATAAATAAATCGGTTGGTTCCGGTTTCTTGAATCAAGTGTGGATTCGACCTGAGTCCTTCGTTTGAGTGGACGGAGAAGGAAAAGAAACGCGTCTTTTGGAAAGGAAAATGCATTAACACTGATCCATACCTCAGTGACGACTCGGGTAGATAATGCTTTATATTCTGTAGTGTTTTTGTTGGTGTAATCATCTCTCCATTCTACATTAGTGAGTCTCATCGAGACTTTGAACACGATTTCTACAGCTATAGAAGATAAGACAATTAAACCCACTTGCTTGTTTAGCATGAGTTCTAGTGTGAGTGCTTTTTTTTAAATCTTGCTTTCGTTGTGTTTTCATTTTGCGCATGACATCCTCGGCGCCATCTTGGATAAGCACAAAAATAGCATAGCGCACTTTCGATAAATCAGGGAAAATAGCGCGCTTGTATCAAAAGCATGGACGATTAGTGCAAGTGCAAAGGCTGGTATCAAAAACCCAAAGCTAGTGATCATCTAGATACACCTAAGTAAAAGAACGTTATCATTTAAAAATAAAAAATAACAAAATAATAAGAATAAATGAGAAGCATTATTTTAAATTTTGATCCTACAGCTCCCTAGATTGATGAGAATAGCTGTTATAACATCAAAAATGGCAGTCTTTTACCTTCAAAACAGTTAATAATTACATCAGTTTTGCTTAAAAATAATTAATTCCTTTTTATTATTTTGTTATTTTTATATGATAGCGCTTCTGTTTATCTTATCGTATCAATACCTGGTGCGTTCGTTGGTGAAACTGAAAGAATAAAAATAAGAGTGTTTGAGTTGCACTGATTTTTCGATTAGAAGGAGTTTGCATAAATATCGAGTAATGGTTGGGAAATATCGAGAGTTGAAAAATAGTGTTTGGACATACCTGATGGAGTAGGACGGATATCTGTTATGAAATTTGGGAATACGAATAGAAGAGAAAAATTAACATCTGTGTTTTCGTCAAAAATAGACCTCGGCTCGGGCGTACTGTTTTCCCATTTCAAACCACGTGGCATTCCCTATAGTGTTATTTCTTTGTTTAACGGTTGCACATGAGAAGACACATGAATATGGATACAACTCAAACAAAGAATCTTATTCTCAAGGGAATGACACGTGGTCTGAAATGGGAAAACAGTACGTCCAAGCAGAGGAGGTCTATCATATTAAGTATATTGTTTCTAATTCGACAGCTAGAGTATGTATATTATTCACTTACATGGTACGCATCCATAGAGCTCCACTCGTAAACATATTTTATTGAACCATTTCTTGGGGTTAATTCTAAAGTAACGAGCAAATACTATCTTTGGAAATGTTGTTGATACGATACTGGTTGCATCTGTGTTGCCGGGGAATACCTATAATTTGAGTAAAATATTAGCTAACGGCCTCTCATGCAATTTGAAAGTGTGCACGCTTGCTTTGTGCTCATAATACACGTGCTCCCAACCAATCAGAACGCGAGATTTATAACAGTTATTTTATAATAGYCTGTAGGGCACCTGGTGCAGGRGAAGGTAATAAAATGTAAAGACTGAAGAAAAATGAAATAACAATAAAAAAAAMCAACGCCTTGGTACGGGTTTCCTCCATAATATAGATACGGTACGCTAGGTTACCGTACGGTAGGGTAGGATACAGTAGGGTACGGTAGGGTAGATTACGGTAAGGTAGGGTACGTTACGGTAGGGTACGTTACGGTAGGGTACGTTACGGTAGAGTACGTTACGGTAGGGTACGTTACGGTAGGGTACGTGTTACGGTAGGGTACGTTAGGATGCGGTAGGATAGGATTACAGTGCGTTAGGGTATGGTACGGCAGGGTACGTTTTGGTACTGTATGCTTAATAAATTATTATTATTTATTATTATGGTACGGTACTATACGGTAGGGTAAGGTACGCTAGGCTACGGTACCGTACGGTAGGGTAAAGTACGGTAAATACAGAGGCTATATTTTATTCCCGCAATTTCTTGGCCTATAAGAAAACCGGGCTCAAAGTAGGTATCTATGGATGCGCACTTACCAACATAGCCACCCTCGCATTTTTTAAAGCAAGGATTCTCAAAAAAAAAAAAAAAAACTCCAGGCGAATATAAAATCGAAAACGACAATCCCAACATAGAAGGATTACTTACCGCTATAGCACCGTTGAACATGAGATTTTTCCGTTTCATACCCGCATTACGTGAAAAGCTGGCGGTAAACGATGTGACATATCCTTCAGCAGATCCCTGGGTAGAAATACGTCTTACTCGCATGAGTTGACTTAGATCAATCTAAAAGAGTGAATAACGCACGTCAATAGAAGGCCTTTGTCTGAATGTTAGGACTTTTCTCAGTCGCATCATATATAATAAGTATCTCTAGTGTACACCTGTTTGTAAGGAAAATAAACCTTCGTACGTACATACCTCTAAATATTCCTTGATAGTATTACTGGCTGCACACCAGCCCCGTGGGGCGTTAAGACGAGCCATTTCAGGTGTATGAGAAGTGTCAAGGGATGAAGACGCTGATAACCAGGAATCCTCTATGGTACCTTTCTCTAGCCCAAGAGGGTCTAGGCAACCTGAATATTTATTAGTTGTCTCTTAGTTCAAACCAGCTGAGTTGACAGCGATTATGATTTATGATATTTTGTTATATAGTTAGGATAGTACGTGCGCGCTGATTGATCGAAAACTATGCTTTATTAGTGAACGGAACACAGTGTTGACGCCATCCGCGCGCGTTAAGTGCTACTAAATCTTGAAACCGTCCTTCTTAAATTCAATACCGAAATAAAATTAGTAACTATATAATGAAACGAATCAATAAAACAGCTTTTTCCTTGCTCCGTTCACAGTAATAAAGCACTTAGGAAGCGCCCACGGCTCGCGCTTTTCCTTACACTTCTTTCACTTTTACGTCACTTCCTGCGTGCTTTATTACTGAACGGAGTACGGAAAAAGCTGTTTTATTAGTTAAATATAGAGYTTTTTTTCCATATGGATATTATTAAAGGCGCTTTTTCCTCGAARTGAATTATGAGTGTAAGCATTTTCCTAGTACAGTGTAGATTTCTGTTGTAGATGGAAGTGGGATACCGCATGCATGACCTCGAAATTTTTCGATTAAAGTGGACTTTACATTTAACGGTGAAAACAAGCGATCTAAAACGCTGACGTTTCGATGTCATGAAAGACATCAATATCAAAGCAAAAAAAAAAAAGGGAAAAATTCAGAAAAAGGTTCATATAAGATGGTAAGGTCCCAAGAGAGCGCGTTTGTGAACAAACTTTGGCTAGTAAAGAGTCCGATTGGATGTTGAGTGTTGGTCTMAATTTACGGATATAAATCATTTCGTAAATTAGACAGTCAATCTTATTTACAATATTTTTAATTAGCCAGTCAGGCTGAGTTCGTCCTGAAGTTCAACTTAGCTGGATGTTTGGAATCTTAAAAATGTGATAAAAAATGAAGGAAAATATAATGGAATTAGAGACCCATAAATGGTTACCTACCATTTTCGCAGCCGTAGATTTCAAAACGCATACACATGCCTCCAGTACCMCCAGCCAGCGGTTTAATGCGGAAGAACTGGGTGATGATTGGCTCTCCCAGAATGTGATTCATTGGACTGTTAAGATCATTGTTACCCCTGAAAACCTATAAAGAAAAAGTAAATACTTTTATGGCATTGGATTTAATTGGTTGAGTCTAACACAGAAAACGACCGTCGAGTGGTCGAGTATTGTACTGACTCGGGGCGGCTGTAATTAACTTGAGTTTCACTCTACATTACTTCTTTTCTCGCATTTTCTCTGTTCATTACTTACCCTGACTATGCCCTTTTCTGTATAATCTACCCACGTGTCTCCATCGTCACTATAAGAAAGCTTGTATTTCGTGACGTAACCAGAACCTCCTACACCCGCTCCCCATGTCGAGATTTGGCTGATTTTTTTCTGGATTGCAGGAAAGATGACCTGTATCCAAGGACTTTTGTCCGTCGCCTACACAGAAAAAAAGAAAAATAAGGAAAAAGGCTTATTAGACACAGCCTTCCCAATGCAACAAATCCACTTGGGCGTAAGGTTTTCCCATTTCAGATCACGTGCAAGCATACTTTTGAGAATAAAATTATTTGTTTGAGTTGCATCCATATTCACGTGTCTTCTCATGCACAACTGTTAAACAAAGAAATGATACTCTAGAGAATGACAAAGTGGATTTGGTCCGCTTAATTGATCACAACATACTGGTGGCATACTTACAACAGGGCACCACGCCTTATCGGTAGGTCTAGCTTCTGCGGCTTCATGACCATCAGTTGATGAAGATACCTTAAGTTGAGGGACTTTGATTCGTCCTTTCTCCATACCTAATGGTGTTTGACATTCTAAGAAAAAAAAATGCATATGCTTTTTAATATAGGCAAAAGTTTCAATCCTGAAACTGTATACCGTGCACATCTTCCCCTTCACGCTCAATGGCGCGTTTTTATGAATATTTTTAAAACGAAACTAAATTATCAAAAGCCTATATGAGGGAATAATAAATCAGAGTACACTGGTAAACGAGCAAAACCTGATGTTTTTATCCCATTTTAAAACACAAATCGTGCTAAAAAATATTACATATCAAGAAACTGACTCATATAACCTTGATAAAATAACCTTGATAAACTTACCAAATGCACATCCATAGAACTCTAATTTGGCGCAAATATTATTAACCCATGACTTTGGGTTTAGACGGATAAAACGAGCATCGATTGGTGGATCAAGAGCAACAGACACTACTGAGTTGGCATCGATATTAGCTGAAATTATCTATAGAGAGTAAAAGCAAAAGCAAAATCACATGGAACGCCTCACACACATACCCGATGGCAGAGGCTACAGTTGCATAACCCGCCCCCTTTCATCACACTGCAATAGCTCTCAACCTCCCTCAATATGTGATACCCCCCCCCCCCCCCCCAACCACTTTCTAAAAATAATGTAAAATCCCTACAGTTTTGCCTACCCCCTCCCCCCGACTAGCTTTTAACAAGCAAATGGAAAGACGAGTATACGTAAAAATAATATGCTAATGCTATATGCACGTGGTTACGATTACGAAACACTATGCGCAATGCTGGATGGTATTTGAAGAGGAGATGTCTTGGTCTGTACAGCGGCTGCCAGAGGCGCCTTCACATGCTTTCAGTTCGACCCTGTTGAGCTGCATCACTGCTGTACTTCACGGTGGTGATTAGAGATGACTATTGTTTCAGCATAGTACTAACCTTAGGCTGGTTACCAGTCATGTAGTTAATCCATCGATTCTGATAGCTGCCATATGTTAGTGTAAATGTTTGAATGTAAGATGCTAGAGGAACGTTTTTGCTGCCTCCCTTGCCTCCTTTGATAGATATCTTCGACACACGGGTTTTGCTAAGAAAATCGACCTGAGGATATGAAAAATACGCGATTATGATTCAGTCAGACATTTTTTTCCAGCTAAGGATCTGGTCGTTCACTCAAAGTGAAGTGACCCTACCACTAGTGCTCGAACCTGGGGAAAAAAYGTTTTAAGTTGATTCCAATAGCAGGTACTATAGATGCATGCAAATGAGATGCAAATGCGACAAAAGTATTGTATCGACCCAACGGCCTTACTTATGTATGATTCTTAAAACAAAAGAAAATCTCATTGCGAGCTCATCTGTAATAATAGCTATTGTAGCATCTGTAAAAATTCTTTATCCAAAGATGATTTTATGCAGTGCACGGGAAGTGACCATACCGCTAGGGCTCGAACATGAAAAATAAAAAAATAAACGAGTGCTAATAGTCTCTCCTTTGAGTTTTTCTTCGTATTATCCGTCGTCTCCCCCCTCCCCCCCCCCCCCCCCCCCCCCCCAAACAAATATCAACTCCTAGATTCCATTAGGGCAACAGGTTTGTAGCCCTCTGAAAACAAGGACGATTTCAATTCAGTGATTCAACTAAGTCGAATGTAAATAAATTTCTTCATAGTCGAACTTTGGTGGATATTCAACTATCCTACCTGTATATAATTGTTAGGGATAGAAGCATTAGCGCACCAAGCACTACTGCCGTTTAGTCGAGCCGCAGTTGGACCATGATCAGCGTCAAGCGTCGATGAAGCTGTCAGCTGTGAATCAGTGATGTTACCTCCACTCATGCCCAGGGGAAGAGAACATTCTGATGAAGAAGAGAAGCCCTGATAAATCAAGTGGCACTTAAGTGGCTATCAAGCCTTCAGGATCTCTTCCTGATTTCAAAGCCTTTATAAAATAACTGAGAATATATAACCAACATAAGATTCAGTCATTTTGAGCTAATTCTCACAAAGATATTCTCTATTTGATGAGTTGACTTTTTACGAGGATTCTGGGTTGACGTCATCATTTCGTCATTTTTATATTGAATATCTCGACAACGAAAAGAGACATCAAAAAGAAAGGGCTTTCAAATCAGGAAGAGATCCTGTAGGCTTGATAGGTACTATGACGTAAGGTAGAGTGTATCAAAACAGCCTTACCTAGTTTGCTCTTACATATATAGCCTCTTCTTTGTGAGCAGATATGATCATTAAGCAATCCTGTTCGTGGGTAGATCTCAACGCAGTTTTCCACACCAGATCGATCGTTTGGTTCGCCATTATCCCAAGGAACGTATGAGGTAGGACTTCCATCACTCCACTGGTAACCTCCCTCAAGGCCACGGTCGTTTAGACCTGCAGGAAGAAAATAGATATCTTTGTCGTAAATGGCTTTCGTATTGATTAAAAACTAGTTTACCAGCTGAGTCGACCTTCAGAATTAACTCAAGGTCAACCAAACAAAATTTTGATTATTATTTTGATTAGCATTTTGCTTGATAATTCTGCGCGTCACTCACTGACAAGACAATTATAAAGAAAAACGGCGGACGAATCTTTGTCTCGTGGTATAGAAGTAACGAAGAATTACGAGCCATTATAGAATTTTTATTCCTTCAAAATTGCTATGTAAAAGCTAACAAAAATAAATGACCCATAATTATTTTCGGGGGACACGATTAACTCAGCTGGGGTACCGAAGGAAAGGGGGGTGGGGGAGCTGGTGGTTTTCATGGGAACGTACCCTTCCTCTCAAAATATTGTGCAAACTTTTACCCCCTCTCCCCCCCCACCATGTTTCTTAAAAATTTGTACCCCCATTTTTATTCGTCGAAAATAAGGTTTACCCCTTATTACGCTTTTTTCTTAAAAAATATCACCCCATCCCATTAAAACCACCAACCCCCTGCGACGTTATATAAACGAACAGACCCTTAATTTACAGTTTACCAATCCATAGGTTTGAAGTTGTAGTAGCGTCCTTGAGTTGATAGATAATAAAATCTTGCTCTTGTCGATTAAGGATGCTGACCAAATCTCCACCCTGACGCATACATCTTAGACGAGCCTGGGGCCAGGGTTGGTAGTCATTGGGTCTCATTAGGTAACAGTGTTTCTCATATTTCGTCCAGCCTGGCTGACATTGCCCCAGCACTTGAATRAAAAAAGCCATATATTGCATTACTCACATAAGAGGTAAGTAGGTAAAAAAGATAAAAATGAAAGGTTGATATTGATACTTACAAGAGGGAGTGACGCTTGGTTCACCTGGTAATCAGAAATATCAGTATTTTTAGGGACTTGAGATTTGAAAAAATCTACGACGGCGACGTCAACCGGAAGTGTGAATAATTTCTCTTTGGGGTTCTGTTCATCGGAGATTTTATTCAAAACATTGTCATTAAAGTCAACTCATCCAGAGGGAAGAGATGTGAGACCCCACAGTGAAGTTTATCAGTTACATTTAAGCTTGACGTTGGCGTCGTAGATTTCGAAAATCTTAAAGGTGACACGTATCAACACGTATTAGGGACAAGTATTAACATTAGTTAACCCTACGTACTTCAATTCAAAGGTTACCTTTACACCCGTGGGATCTACAGTACACTGACAGTGGTGATACAATGCAGTGAACAAGGGCGGTGTTGAGGGCACCGAATCTCACCCCTTGGATCACTGCCTTGACTGAGATTTTATTGAACGTGGTATGTGAGTAGAGTTACTTGGGTTTCGCCCTTGATTCGTGAGTTTCAATCCGGGTTCTCCGGTTTTCCGGAGTTGATTACAGTCATTTGTTTGTAAGCGTTTTTTGTTGGAGGTTTTGCTCCTGTCAGCAATAGCGAGGGGTAATATCGGGGTGTCCACAAGGCGAGAGTTGACTGTACATTGGATCATTAACAAGATTTTTGTGATTTCTTTGAGGGAAGGACACCGGAAAACCTATTGAAAATCTTCGAAGCACAGGAGAGAGACAACAAACAACTCTATTCGCGTGTGACAAAAAGTCCGAGTATCGAACCCACGACCTGCCACAGCGGTGCATAAGAGCAAGGGCATAGCCAGGGGGCCCATGGGCGCCAGCCTATTCGTGGCAACAAAAAAGTTGGCTTTTAAGATTTTATACGGCAAAAGAAAGTGTAATGTAATTTTTATAAAACGCAAAACTTAAGGAAGGCGTTTTTCTTTTCTTTCAGGGGCGCAAACAGAATGGCGGATTTTTTATATTTGCGCCCCCCCCCCCCCCCTTCCCCATTCCCTTCCCCCTCGGAAAATCCTGGCAAAATCCTCGCTGGACAGGCGGCCCAAACACCTAGGTGCACACCGACACACTATCCATTGGGTTTTTTTTGGGACTCTGTATACGCCGCACCACTTCAAATCTCCAAATTTAACAGAATCGCTACGTTTAACAGAAATACCTTTGTTTATTTTACACATGAATCCATTCTTTTTTCCACAATCTACTTCCGTCCAGCGTCCATCTGTACTCAGTGAATTGTTGGCCTGAACACACGTCTTGGAAGCTTCTGCTTGTCGCGGTTGTCCACGTGACCAGTGAGTGTACTCTTGAGGACTTTGGTCAGACCAAGTGAACTCAATTGCGTTGAATTCACGAGAAAGACCAATCCAAATGTCACCAACAAAGTTGATCATATTTCTYACCAGGTATGCTGTGTGATAGATAAAGTCATGAGGTGAAGACAAAAGTTAGACTAGAGGACCAATTAAAATATAGAATGAAAACAATGAATTCCAACTTTGGGTAGTGAGTGGAGCCAATCAGAAATCAGACTGTACGAGAATGGTAATTTGAGCCTGATGTTACATGTTAACAGCTAGACAGCCATTTTCGCGTGGGAATAAAAAGATTTGTTGAAAGACTATTGTTTTCTGCTGCTTTCGGATTGGCTCCTCTACCCAAAGTTGGAATGTACTTGTTTTTATTCTACAATTTGATTGGTTGTCGTTGTCTAAGTGGTCTCGGTCGTTGCACTCACCAATTACATAGCTCAAGAGAAACATTATCAATCACCTTCACCCGGCGATCGCCCAAGAGAGAAGACTTCAGAAAGACTGTTAGTACTTAGGTAGCTGCATTGCGTGTAACATTTCATCAGACTACAGCATATTTCACGAGCAAGAACATTCTTTCTGAAGACTTCTTTTATTTGAAGAATCACACTCCACACATTACTTGTAATCCCAAATTATTCAACTTAAAAGAAGCCTGCCTCTAGCCAGCCCTTTCTTTTCTCTGATGCTTCCGACTTACCAAGGGTAGATTCAGGGAGAGGGGTGTGGCGTTGCAACTCCCCCTATGAGAATTTATTTTGGTTTGGAATTACAGGTGAATGCTCCTTTAACGCAGAACGCAGAAACCCCTCTTTAGAGAAATCTTGGATCTGCCCCTCCTTACGAAAGTCGATCGATAGCCTTACTTATGCTTAAGGAACATAAAACGCGCGCGCGTGCATTTGTACTCTGATATAAGGCACGCTTACGTCTCGTGTTCATCTAGGTTTTCGAGTGCTATACAGCTCCCAGCGTGTTTATATAAAAAATTATAAAATCTTTCTAAACGATTTTGCGCGAGCGTGTCCGTCTTTTGATATAAACACGGTATCCAGCCACGCATTATATTTCAAATATTTTATAATCATCCAGCCAATCAGCGCACACGTTATACCTTAAATGTTTTATAATTACTCAGCCAATTAGCGCACGCGTTATTTCTTAAATATTGTATAATTATCCAGCCACTCAGCGCACACGTTATATCTCAAATATTTTATAATTATCCAGCCAACCAGCGCACTTGTTATATCTAAAACATTTTATAATTATCCAGCCAATCAGTGCAAGCGTTATATTTCAATTTTTTCATAAAAAGTTTTATTGATGGAATGTACTGTAGAAGTTAAGTAATATACATTCTAAAAGTTTTGGAGCCCAACATTAACTTAATGCCATGTGAATTTTATATGAAGGTAGCTAGGGAAAGCCATTTGTTTTATTTGCCATTAGAACTCTTTGGTTGTCATTGTCACTTGTCATTCTCTTAGGAATAAGATGTTTTACTTTAGTGAAATCCAACTAGTGGTCTATCAGCAATTCTGCGTTCTGATTGGATGAACTACTAGGCTATAAGTTATAGCCTACTAGTAGCGAAAAATGCTTTGAAAACCGAAACATTAAATTTACTTTTAATTAAAACTTGTTTGCATCTATACATTTGACTAACTAGTTGGATGTGACTAAAACAATTAGTCCACTCGCCCTCATAGCCTACRAATCAATAGCCCATGCTTTTTATAGTCGACCAACATGGCGGCTGTGACGTAACATGCTCCCCAAGAATAGTTACCTCTAGCACCAGGGTCACCCTACATTCGAGGGAACAGCTTCTTATTTACCTTGTTCAACGGAGCTATGAATGCTGACGAGCTCGGCACCGTACGCCTTGCACTTCTGATTGGCTTCATACCAATTAGATTTCACATATGATGTCATGTAGCAGCTGTCGCCAAATTTGTTAAATTGAGCTGGACAATCATTACTGGGAGTTGGTGTTACTGAAAAACAAACACGCAAGGAGACATGTTAAAATGCATATATTTCAGTAAAATCGGCAAGGGTTATGGGTAGATATATTTTACATGCGTTTCAGCCGCTTGATGATATTGAGATCTTTTACCATTACAGCTTCATCTCCTGATCTTCAAGCTAAAAATTTTATCAATAAGCTTTTCTCAATTGATATGCAATATTTCCCTAATACCTGGCGATCTAATTTTTTTAGAGTTTTGGTGACTAATCATACTTAAATGATTATATAAATCAAATATTAAGAGTGAATGTCAGTAAAAATCAAACCAAATTCGCGAAATCGCGGACACAGTCAAAAAATCGATTTTGCTCATATTTCAGTGGATTGATATAGTGCTAGGTACCAAATAGACACAAATGAGGTTAATTTTTCGAAATATCTTATTAAACGAGAAAAATCGTCGAAAAACTGCTCAAGTCAAAATAGGCTAATTTTCGCTGCGACCCAACTCGAAATTAGGCCGATTTCGGTTCACTCCCCTGGAAGTTCATGATGCCTCAGAAAAAATCCAAAGGTTCAGGTACATACATTGGTGTTTCCTTAATCGAAAAGCAGCTTTTGTTTTTGCCTCAGCATTTTTCCTATTTTTTGTGACCGCATAAGACTAAGGTACTCGACACTATACTATGTGAAAGCCTACTACAAGCTCAAGACCAGCAAGAAATAATATATGTCGTAGTGCCTCAAAATTTCCAACTTTTTTGTCACATAATCCTGAAAGGTCATTCTTTAATTCTGTGGTGTTAGCTTTTGGGCTCTTTTCGTTTTCTCGAGCTGAGCGCCGATGAAACTTCTGCTAAATCCACCAATGTCAAACCCGATTATCCACAGGTAACCCAAGCAATGAAAACGAAAAAAGTTTTTTTCATTTTTGAAATCGAAGTATTTTTTCTAATATTTGCTGCTGAAATTATCTAGGCACAAAATAATTTGTTTACTTTTTTCTGAGTTATATAATTATAACTGATATTGTGTTTGTTAATACAGTATCTTGGTCTGATAAAATTATACTCTCGAACTTTTTTGTATACTTGGAGAAAACAAACATCTATTTTCTCACTCAAACTCTTCAAAATTCTTAGAAAACGTGCTGAAGTGCACGCATGCGCAAACGTTTTTCTCTAGTGTCACAGCAACTTGTATTTGAAACATTACGTCGAACGATTTGCTTTTTGGTTTTGACTCAGTTTTACTGCCACTACCATATATACATGGCGAGATAGAAAGGCAAATATCACCACTGATTTTTCACCTTTCGTTCTAATTGAAGTCTAAATTATTTTTGGTATAACCCTCAGGCCGATAATAATACTTCTGACTCGGATCTTCAATTCCTTGCTTCCTTTTTTCTTTTTTTCTTTTTTGGCCCTACGTGCCACACAGGCATAAAGGATAATGATGATGATACAATTTTTTGGCAACGTTGATCAAGATCTTGATTTTAATTCATTATTTACGCTTAGTCAAATATTTTTGCGTTTTACCGATTTATAGATTAGTGCACTTTCCGCATTTTCCATAATTGACACCTTCCGTTTCTTTGTTTTACAGCAGCCCCTACGGATGTGGAGAGCATTCGCTGTCGCGAGGTTAAATTGATAGTGGTCAGAGATTGAATAGATRAAGCAGCCTGAAATGCGAAAGAAAATAACGTGTCATAGGCAAAGATATATTAAAAAGTCTACAAGCAGATCGAGATTGTTCAAATGTTTCAGAAACAAGACCAAGCTGACTTCGATGAAGAGGAAAAAGGCTCGCTTTTCTTGTGTCCTGAAAAAGGGTGTGTAAAAGCCTACAACCACTTTTCATTCCTCTAAACACACTTCGAAATAGGGAGGTATAAGAGGCTACCTGAACAAGAGAACTTATTTAACAAATAAAACAGCTATATATATCCGTGATACGTGATGTAAACACAACTTCTTGAGTGCTTACGGCGCGTCCTAAGTGCTTTATTACTGAACGGAACACGGAAAAAGCTGCTGTGATATTTTAGTTATATAGTTACTAATTTTATTTTGGTATTGAATTTATTTACGCACTAAAAAGAAAGACGGTCACAGCACTCCGCGCAAGCGCGGATGGCGTCAGCACTGTGCTCCGTTTCCTAACTATATAATTAATCTAATAAAACTGGAAGAAAATTCTTGATTATGAATATTATGAAAGAGGTTTCTATACATCTAGAAAAAAAATTATAAGAAATATAAGAAATTCAGATCTTCATCCAAAAAAAAAAAAAAGAAAAAAAAAATTACATTTTTTGTACGTTCAATTTGATTCAGCATTATTTACAACCGCGCGCTTGTTTAGATGTGACGATGCAGATTTCACGGAGTAGCATAAATGTCATAATTTCTCGTCCAGATACGTCTTTAAAATAATAGATCTATCTAATTATACTTACATACCCAAGAAAAAAGTAAAAAAATTATTTTGTACCTAGGAATATAGAAAATTTCAGCAGCAAATATTAGAAAAAAATACTTCGATTTCAAAAATGAAAAAAAACTTTTTTCGTTTTCAAAGCTTGGGTTCCCTTTGAATAATCGGGGTTGACATTGGTGGATTTAGCATAAGTTTCATCGGCGCTCAACTCAAGAAAACGAAAAGAGCCCAAAAACTAAAGCCATAGAAGTAAAGAATGACCTTTCAGAAATATGTGACAAAAAAGTTGGAAATTTTGAGGCACTACCACATGTATTATTTCTTACTGATCTTGAGCTTGTAGTAGGCTTTCACATAGTAGAGTGGCGAGTACCTTAGTCTTATGCGGTCACAAAAAAATAGGAAAAATGCTGAGGCAAAAACAAAAGTTGCTTTTCGATTAAGGAAACACTAATGTATGTACCTGAACCTTTGGATTTTTTTTGAGGCATCATGAATTTCCAGGGGGGTGAACCAAAATCGGCCTAATTTCGAGTTGGATCGCCGCAAAAATTAGCCTATTTTGACTCAAGCGGTTTTTCGATGATTTTTCTCGCTCAATAAGGTATTTCGAAAAAAATAACCTCATTAAACTAACAGAAGATAAAACGAGCCTTCTAGAAAGTTTTAACACAATTCTCGACTTTTTTCTTTTGACGTTTTCAGAGCCTGAAGGAAACTAATTAATTAATTTTTGCGGTGCTTTCCCTAGAGGTTACGAAAAAATTCATAATAAGACAAAATAATCGCCATAGAAAATATGTTTTGTTAGAGCATAAGATCCCCAAGCCAGTCTAATTAAAATCTGAGGTAAATAGAGGCTTTGCACCATCACGTGCCGTCGCCCATAACATAGTCTTCCTCGCAACCGCTATCAGTGTAGCGGCTGCGATACGGCTTTGAATGCTTGTAGTTAGATGGCAGAACAATGAAATTTCTTTGCTCTCAGGAATTGAATCCTTGCTCATGTAAAACGATTGTATTGTTCATGACAGTAAAAGGGGGGTATCATTTGTTWTTTTGCTGGACGTCCTGTTAAATTCATCGGGAAAATTCCATCTTATTAAATTCGGAATTGCTTTCTAATTATTTATGTGTATATACAGGAATTAATTATTTTTTAAGCAAAATTGGTGTACTTATTCCAAGGTATTGACTGATATTGATATTATCTTGTTCGTATATTATGAAAGTTATTTTCATCGATCTAGGGGGCTTTAGATTCAAAATTTTAAAAAAATATTTCTAATTAATTGCTCTTTGTTATTTTACTATTTTTTATTTTTATATAACACCGTTCTTGCAATTTGGTGTAATTCTGAATCGAGATATTAGACTAAAGACTTCGAGTCTTGTGGAGACATAATTTTCCTTCTTTATTTATATTAAAATTGTCATTAAAAAAAACCAGCAAAAATATATTCAGAGCCGACTGTGTGTAAAGAAAAAGCAACGTTATCGAGAAAGATAACCTAAAAAACCCAAGGAATCGCAGTCTGTGGGGCAAGAACTTCGTCGTGACGTGTGTGTGTTCTTCTTATTATTGGCTAGTTAATCAGCCCAGCCATAGTTAATTGAGAGAGTTAATTAGTCAATAGTTCCCCCACTATTAACTATATTCCAACTCATCAAAATAATAAAGTTTTAGATTTAAGAGGATGATAAATTGAAAGAGGATGATGCTCACAATTTCGAAGTGATGAATCAGAGTATAAACACTACTTGAAAGCATGAACCATAAATAGCAAGTTTGGAATATAACACTATAAGACTAAACTAAATGAGAGAATCGATACAGGCTTAAGATATTATAAGATTGAATTAAAAACAATACAGCAAAAATCTATCAATGGTAATTTTTTAAGAAAACTAGTTGTAAAATTGTATTCCTAAAATTACCTTTATCAAATGGTAATTTTATTAGGGTTATGACCTCTACTAAGAACACAGTCGGCACTATGGTTAATATCCCATGCATTGTGGTTAATATCCCAATGCATTGTGGTTAATATCCCAATGCATTGTGGTTAATATCCCAATGCATTNATGCATTGTGGTTAATATCCCAATGCATTGTGGTTAATATCCCAATGCATTGTGGTTAATATCCCAATGCATTTTGGTTAATATCCCAATGCATTGTGGCTAACATCCGAATACATTGTGGTTAACATCCGAGTGCATTGTGGTTAATATCCGAATGCATTATGATTAATATCAAACACTGAAGAAGTTTTGCGCCTTCTACACGAATAGGATGTGCACGAGCACGAATCTCTAGCACAGAGCATGATGGGAAACCAAGAACTATTCAAATCAGGAAAAGAAAATCAATAGAATAAAAAAAAATACATTGCTATTTTCATCCGTTGAAATACTAACAGTTCCACATAAAATGTCGAACGAAAAATTGCCAGAGGGATTTTTAGAGCTGAAAAACCGTAAGTACTCGGTTTCCCATCATGCTTTGAGCTAGAGATGATTTCTTGTGATTGATCAAATCGATCTGTCATTCAAACCTAACCCAGCCCAATAACA